TACACCCCAGCTTGGTGGCTGTGAAGGACATGCAGACTGAGCTATGCTGCCTCCGGGTCTGTGGATGGTAGGAGAGGCAGGTGCCAGGTGGACGGGCTGCAGGGCTGGGCTTCCAGGGCCCCCAGCGGGCCCGAGACCAAGTCTCAGAGACCCCAGGCAGGCTCACGCCTACGTTCCGCCTGTCCATCCTGATTTCTAAGGACAGTAAACCCTTTGTGCAGAAAGCTGGGCATAGGACAGTTTCAAGCCTTAGGGCAGGTCATGATGGGCACTGTCCAGCCTCAGGGCTGACCCTGTACATGTGTCAGGAGGAGCGGAGGGGACAAGTCTCACAGCTGCACCTGCTCTGCTCCCCTGGAGCACTGGCCCTCTGTGGTCACCAGCACGTGGCGAGGACAGGAACCTCTGACAGCCAGCCTGCCTCAGAGCTGGTGATGGCATCCCAGGCAGTGAGGCCTCTGGGCACATGGGCTGGCAGGTGGCTCCGCTGGCCAGGGTCTCCCCCGACAAGAGGCAGAGCTTTGCCTGCACACAGGGTGGAGCTTTGCTGAGGGATGCAGGCCTCCAGGACATGTAACGTCCAGGCAGCAGGACTGGACAGCCTGGGGCCTCGATAAACTGCATCCTGGTGGACTCATGGAGGTCACCCCTCCTGCCCTGCTGCAGGTTCAACCGGGACATCGAATTCATGATTGGCCACAAGCCCAACATCTTCTGGCAGCTCATGTGGAGAGTGGTCAGCCCCATAATCATGTTGGTCATCTTCTTCTTCTACTTCGTGATCCAGGTCAACAAAGAGCTCACGTACAACATCTGGGACCCTAGCTACGTGAGTGCCCAGCCGGCAACAGGGGCAGCTGCCAAGTTCCCCATGGGCTGGGGGAGGCAGTGCTGGAGGAAGGCGGGGGTCCCCCTGCCCCCGAGCAGCAGGCGAGCACGGTGGGGTCAGAGTGCCTTTGCCTTCTGGGTTGCTCACCCTGTGTGTCCCTCCTGCAGGACAAGTTTCCCCAGTCCCAGCAGGTGGCCTACCCAGGCTGGGTGTACGCCGTGGTGGCCATTGTGGCTGGAGTGCCGTGCCTCACCATTCCCTGCATTGCCTTCTACAAGATCGTCAGAAACCATTGGCGGAGGCCAGGTGACCAGCAAGGGCTGGTCAGCACACTGTCCACAGCCTCTGTGAACGGAGAACTCAAGTCCTGAGTGGGCCCAGCCCAGAGTCTGCAGCCGATAGTGTCGGGAGGAAAGGAGCCACAGGACCCTTGAGGTGGCAGGGCTGCAGTGTGCGTGTGCCTGAATGCATGGGTGTGTACATATGTGTTGTCCACGTGTGTTCATGCATACATGCAGGGGTACACACTTGTACAGGTGCAAAGTGTGTGGTGTGTATGCTAGAATGCATATAAACACGTGTGTGTCTGAGTGTGTGAGTATATTGTGAATACGTGTATGTTGTGCATGTATATATACCCAAGCGCATGTTTGTGTGTACACACATGGTAGTGTATGCATGCCTGTATGTGTGCATAAGCACACGTTTTACACACGTGTAAATGTTTATGTGTGAGCATATGTGTGTGTGCATGAAGGTGTGTATATGTCTGTGGATACAAGTTGTGCACACACATGCAGGTGAACATGAACATTGTGTGTGCAGATATGTGTGCACATGCATATGCAGGTGTGTGTGTTTGGGTGTAAAATGTGTCTGTATGGTGTGGGTTACGTGTATATGGGTGTATGTGGGCCTGTGTATTGTGCACACAGATATTTGTACATATGCACCTAAGTGTATGTGAATTGTATACACCTGTACACAACTCACCAGTGTGTGCCTGTGCACATTCCTGTATGTATACGTGTGCTTATTGCACATATGTGTGAAAATGTATGTGTTTACGTGTTCCTGACACGTGCCCCTTCTCAGGCCTGGCCACCTTATGCACTGTCCCTCATGTGGACATGGTGGTGGGGCATGGACTGTGGCCTGGGGCAGACCTGGCTCAGGACTTGCCTGACCTGCACGGCCCTGTGGAGAGTCCAAGGCCCAGGCGTGGGAGGCCGAGTTGCTATGCTCCCTCTGTCGCGAGGCGGGAGACAGAGCGCGAGCTGCCGGCTGGTCTCCTTGGAATGGTCCCCGCTGCCCACCCCACACTGCTGGCTGTCCTGGACCAACGGCCCCTGAGGGAAAGGTGTGGGCCCTTTTGCTCTTCAAGGAGAAGTGTGAGGGGGCGTGGGTGGGCGAGGCTGCGGGTCTGGCCGGGGTCAGCCCAGCAGTGCATGGGCTGGGGGGACCGACCGTTTAATGATTGCTGCTGGCTGCACAGCTCGATGGGCAGCTCAGCAGAGCTCAGCCTGGCCTAACTGCAGCAGGAGCCACCTTGCGTGTTCTTAAGGGACGTTAACCCCGTGAATTTTTAGCCAGACGCTGGAGGAGAAAGGTCAAAGGGTAACTTGGCCTGAGCACTGTGGTTGAGGGCACTCTGAGAGTCCTGGGCACTTTGTCCACCCTCTGTCGCTCGGTGAGCCCGGGGTCGGCGCCTGCGTTTGCCCGGTGGTGGGGGTGTCATCCCTGGACCTGTCCCCCATCTCAGCCGGGGGACTTCCCACTTTGGATGTTTGCTTCAGCAAGCTGGTTGCCTCCGTTTTCCATGGAAAAAACTTCCTGAGGATTCTCACGGCCAGTGTGGGAGGTCCTAGGGGGCCTGGCACCATGTTCCTCCAGCCACGAGACCCTCCACACCCAAGTCCTCTTACCAGGAACTCTCCATCATCCAGCTGGCCACCTGGGACTGTGATCTGCAGAAATCTACCAAATCAGGGGGACCCAGGGGCCCAGGCTCTGCCCCAGGCCTGGTGACATGCCCCAGAGGCTCAGCCCAAGAAGATGGAGGGTCCCATCTGGTGGCCAGTGGTCCCACCTCCCCTCTCCCCACAACCTCCGACTGGGAAGCTGTTGATGGATCCATACCCACCAGTACACTGCCCACGGTGTCCTGGAGGCCCCCGTGTGCCTGTCCAGGAGACCCCGTGGGGTCTCGGACATCCGTGGTGTCTCCTGGGCAGCTCTCTGGTGGCTTCTGTGTGGGGTTGTGGAATAAAGCCTGCCTGTTTAACACCCCTGGCTCAAGAGCTGCTGTCAGACACGGAGGCTTGAGCTGGGCTGTGGCCAAGGCCGAGGGGGGTCACAGCCCTTGGAGGTGCAGCTAGCGAGTCTGGCCCACCTCTGGGCCCAGGGGATGGTTCGGGGCTCATTCTGAAAGAAGCCTCTCTGCTGTGGCCCCTGGAGTGCGGGACCTGGTAGCCCAGTGGGCTGGACAGACACTGGTCTGGGGACCCCTTGCTGCCCCGGGAGGGCTGGTGGGGCTTGGCCAGGACAAGCAGGGTGCAGGAGAGGGGAGGCAGGAGGCAGGGAATCTTCCGAGGAGCACCAGGGAGAAGAGGACCGCAGGAGATGCCCCCTGTCCCAGACTGTGTCGACTGGACACGGGAGCCCTGGGGCTCGGATTTGGACTTGTGGCTGCCTGGTTGAGGTCATGTCCAGGGGAGCGGGAACACAGATCCAGGGCTGAGGCCTGCCCTGGGAGGGAGGAACCCAGAGCCCAAGCAGAGCCCCATGGGGCTCCTTTGAGTTGGACCCCACGGGCAGGAGGTGGCTACAGTGGAGAAGAGGACTCGAGCCCCTGTGCACTGATGCTGCCCAGCCGGCTGCGGAGGGCAGAAGGGGGGCAGCTAGCACAGGAGGGGAGGAGCAGGGGAGCCCTGGCCTCCAGAGAGCAGCTGGCCCACGGGGGGCAGCCCTCCCTGACCTGACCCCAGGACACTGTCCTTGGTCGACAGTGGGCCACATCCAGGGTCTGGGCTCTGCACTGGGTCTGGAGCAGGTGCAGCTGGGGCTGGGGACTAAGACAAGCCCAGGACAGCACAGAGCCAGGCAGCCAGCGTCCACCCTGGTGACTCAGACAAGTGGGCCAGTGCAGCCCAGTACTGAGCCCTTGCCCACGCACCCAGGCCCTGGTTCCCGCCCCAGCCCTGCAAAAGAAAAAGAAACAAGACCGGATGTGACCAGCCACCAGTCGCAGCCCCTCCTGGGCATCTGTCCTGAGGTGCACAGGCTGCACCCGCAGGCCAGAGCTGGGCATCACCAGCTGCACCCAGGACAGAGGCCCTGCCCTGAAGCTGCGGTGGGCGCACCCCACCAGGCACGCTGCTCAGCAAGCGCAGGGCAGACCGCGCCAGCTGCAGAGTCCCGGTCATGGTGGGCAGAACAGCTGGCCCCAGGCTCTGCAGGTGCCACTCACAGAGCTTCCTAGGTGAGAAGGCAATGCCAGGACGGGGGCCACAAGGGCCGAGCATGAGCACGTGGTGACAGTGGTGCATGTGGCCCTCCCAGACCCCAGGCGCCAGGTCCTTGCCCATGGCAAGCTCTGGAGAAGTGACGTGCAGGAAGCAGAGCTGTGCAGGGTCCTCACTGTGCTCTCTCACCAACTGAGTCTACACCTACCTCAAAAGCACAGCCACAGTCACATAGTGAATCCTTTCCAAAGACCAAGTGTGCCCTGCGTGGGAGTCCTGCAGTCCCCGGAGCAGAGGCCACTACGCTGGCAGCAGGCCAAGCCATTCATGGGGTTGGGGGATGCGGGCCATGGGGACAGGCCGGCACAGTCACTGGGAACCAGCCCAAGTTACCGATTAACTGGGCTCCTTGAAATAAATGGGCAAACGTCCCCGAGGAGGGACGATTTCATCTCCAAGTTCCAGCTGAGCTCCAGCCAGCTGTGCCCGGGCTGGTGTCCAGTGAGGCACCCACTCAGCACCTGCACCCTGGGAGACTGGCAGCATGGCCCAGGCCCCAAGCCCAGGTCTGGTAGACAGCTGTGAGGACGAGAGGCCCCACTGGGACAGCAAGTTCCAGTACCTCTTGAGCTGCATTGGGTTTGCCGTGGGGCTGGGTAACATATGGAGGTTTCCGTACCTGTGCCAGACCCACGGGGGAGGTAAGCCTGTGGGACCTGAGATGCACCCTGGGGGGGGGGACGGTCCACCTCCCGCTGGCGTGGGGTCTCTGCCACTTGGCCCCAGTCTGAGGGTGGGTGCCGGAGCCCGAGGACCTCGAGCACTTGCAGGCAGAGTCAGGGCGCACTGCTGGCAAGGTGACGCCACTTCTCAGTCTCGAACACGGCCGGTTCTCGACAGAGCTAGAACCCCTGGTCCTCTCAACCTGTGTCCAGGTGGACCCGGGCTGATTCGTCCCAGGTACACTTTGCCAAGGAGCCACCCCAGACAGTGGCTCCCCTGAGAGCCGGGGTGGAGGGGCGCGCAGCTGACCAGGCCTGACAGTGTTACTTCCTTGGCCATCAGACCCACACCTCAGAAGCCTGTCAGTCAGACAGCTGATCCTCCTGGCCACCCTCAGCTCCTCCATCATCTGCTCTCTTCATGTGGCCACAGAGGTGCAGCAGCCATACAGCCCTACGCAGTGGGGCGCAGGGGGGGCGGCCAGGCACCGCTGACCTTGGCAGCTGACCGGGGGGGTCGCCGACGTCCCCAGCTGTGACGGGAGAGTCATGCCAGGCTGTGCTGGGACGCCAGGCCCACTTTCCCTCAGGGCTCCGGCAGCCACTGCAGGACCTGCCGTCTCCCGGGGCCGAGGATGGTCTCCTGCTGCCTCGCGCTCCTGGCTTTCGGCAGAGGAAACGCTCCAGTGGAATGCAGGAGATCTCCCTCAGGGTCCACGGCCCGAGGCCGGTGCCCAGGCGCGGCAGGGCTGAGAGCATACGGGCCTGGTGTCTCTGGCTGGAGGCAGACCAGTGCCCTCCTGGCTGCAAGGTGGACAGCTGAGGTGCGGAGGGTGTTCGGGGCTGGCCCTGGCCTTGCCCTCGGAGCCACTCCTTTAAAGCTCACGGTCTGACTGTTGCAGGAGCACACGGGCCAGAGCGTTTTGAAAATGCAGACAAGCAGAGGAAGGAGAAGGGTCTTGACTGCCCAGGGCACTGGTCCCCATGGGGTCTGCTGGGACCGCACCCTGGCCCTGTACCTCCTCCCATGGAAGAGGCCCCAGGGAGGCTTCTGGGAAGCTCTAGGCCCTAAAGCCCAGGCCTCTGCTGCCCCTCTCTGGGCCGTAGCCCTGGACACCAGCCAGGGAGGCGGCAGCCACACCCATGGCTCCAGTGGCTCTGGGAGCTTCAGGAACTTGCCTTCCTGAGCCGCGGAGCCCCAGGTGGCCCCGCCTGGGCACCGGGGTGCACTGATGGGCAAGAGGGGAATTCTCCACTGTTGAAGTTTCCCAAGCATCAGCTTCTGGATGTGCAATCGCTTGGCGAGGTGTCACGAGAGGCCCGTGTCACGAGAGGGCCGTGTCCCTGTAACTTGGATCCCCACGGGTGCTTCACCATGTGGGACAATGCCCCCTTCTTGGTCTCCTTTGAAAACAAGTCACAGTGACAAGGAGACAGGTGGTGTTTGCACTCACACAGACCCATGACTACCACAGTGAGTATGGATTTCTCTCCCTTCACCACCACTCAGCTTTAGAGAGCTCCTCTTCAAAGACAGGACTAAACGCAGCACTGAACCTGAGCAGGGCAAAGACCCTGGAAAGAGTTACAGTGACCCCATCACATGGGCCCTTCATGGCCAGCTGCTTCATCCTGTCCCTAGCACATTAAATCACAGGTGCATCCGATGCCCAGGGAGCCATTTGGCACCTGTCAGGGACTGAGGTTCCCCCCAGGGAGCTAGAAGGACGGTGTGGACTGGGCTGGCTGCTCCAGCCCCATGCAGTGGGATCTGGAGGAAGCTGTCCGTCACCCCCCCTGCACTGCCTGTTTGTCCGTCATGGACCTGACTCTGGGCCTACTGGACCCCCTTGAGAATCATGAAGTCTTGCACCCCAAATCACTCTGGTTCAATCACTGTGGTTCACGCACCTGTGCCCTGACGCGGGCAGCGCAAGCCCTGTACCTCCCTCTACACTGACTGGCTACGAGCCTTGCGTATGAGCTTTGCAGCTGGGTTGTCGGTTTCCACGAAAGACTGAGTTCCATTGGCCTTGAGTGACCTTCTGTGGGGTGGTGGGAGCATTTCCGCTGGGCTTGGTGTCCCTGGAGCCCGCCTACAAGGCTGGCTCCGCGGAGGTCTTGGCCAGCCCATGGAATGCCGAGCACCCCTACTCCTCGTCCAGCGCTCACACTGGCCTCCCAGGGTCCCCTCCGTGAGATCTGGCCTGTCTTGCCTGGCTTGTCCTGCAGCCCCAGGCCAACAGAACCTCCTTTTCTCCCGACACTCTCTCGGTGGTTGGTGCCCACGAGCCTTTCCCTAGCACTGCGGCCTGTGACGTGAGGACTTCTCCCAGGGCCGCCTCATGCAGTGTAGGCAGCGGTCAGCAAGGCACTGCCACCTCCCCCTCTGCAGGACATGCTGCACTCCAGCGCGAAGGCCTGGGAGAGCTGACTGGCGCTGGACGTCTGGCGGCCTGACCATGCTGGCCAGCCCTCCTTCTTTGTTCAAATTCAGCCATGCTGTTCCCCAGCTCTCCCTGTGTTCTGTGTAAGGGCAGCTGACAGAACGGGTTCCCCGGCTGGGTGTGCCCTGGGCAGCCGAGCTGCTCCCCAGCGACCAGCCTGCGTGGGCTGCTTCCTAATTCGTGTTGCCGATGAGACTGTAGAGCCACGGAGGAGGACCATCGCCACTGGCTGGCGTCCCCGGGGGCCTAGTCTTAGGTCAGAAGGCTCCCTGCCATTGGCCCTGGACCCACACGTGCAGGTGGGGACACGCCTGTCAGCACGTGGGAGTGGACACAGGAAGAGTCTTCATGGCCATTAATGGAGAGAGGAAGCAGCTGCCCGCCAGCGTGCCCACCAGAGCTGAGAGGCCGCCATCCTCCAGCAGCCCGCTGGGGTGCACAGGACCCTCCACTCTGGGAGAACCATGTGTTCTAGGCCTCACAGGTGGAGGCTCAACTGGGAGTCAAAGTGCCCAGCTGTCCAGCTGGAGCCGGGCCCTGTAGGCTCCGGGAGGGCTCAGCCCAGCTTCACGCCCTCAGCTGGGGGGAGGTGCTGTGCTCTGCTGTCCACGGCTGGCCCATCCTGCAGAGGCTCAGCCTCCGCCTCTGCCTGCTGCGTCCTCTGGCCTGGGAATTGGTTTGGGGCATGTGCTCCCTCGCAGGGGCCTGAGGGGCCCTCATCCCCCCACTTCTGTGGGCGTTCACCTCACAGCACCTGGACAGGAAATGAGGGCGACATGCGAGCAACAGAGATGAGTCCCAGCCCACCCGGGGCCATGGTCAGAGTCCCAGGTCCCCTCTGAGGGAAGCTCAAGAGATGATCAGAGTCGCCAATGCTCTGACTTCCATGAGCAGAGACCACTCCAGACCCAGGAGAGCCACGGGGGTGCCCAGGGAGACCACTCCAGACCCAGGAGAGCCACGGGGGTGTGGCCCTGGGAGACCACTCCAGACCCAGGAGAGCCACATGGGGGGCCCTGGGAGACCACTCCAGACCCCAGGAGAGCCACATGGGGGGCCCTGGGAGACTACTCCAGACCCCAGGAGAGCCACATGGGGGGCCCTGGGAGACCACTCCAGACCCAGGAGAGCCACATGGGGGGCCCTGGGAGACCACTCCAGACCCCAGGAGAGCCACATGGGGGGCCCTGGGAGACTACTCCAGACCCCAGGAGAGCCACATGGGGGGCCCTGGGAGACCACTCCAGACCCAGGAGAGCCACATGGGGGGCCCTGGGAGACCACTCCAGACCCCAGGAGAGCCACATGGGGGGCCCTGGGAGACTACTCCAGACCCCAGGAGAGCCACATGGGGGGCCCTGGGAGACCACTCCAGATCCAGGAGAGCCACATGGGGGGCCCTGGGAGACCACTCCAGACCCAGGAGAGCCACATGGGGGGCCCTGGGAGACCATTCCAGACCCCAGGAGAGCCACATGGGGGGCCCTGGGAGACTACTCCAGATCCAGGAGAGCCACATGGGGGGCCCTGGGAGACCACTCCAGACCCCAGGAGAGCCACATGGGGGGCCCTGGGAGACCACTCCAGATCCAGGAGAGCCACATGGGGGGCCCTGGGAGACCACTCCAGACCCCAGGAGAGCCATGGGGGTGCCCAGGGAGACCACTCCAGACCCAGGAGAGCCACGGGGGTGTGGCCCTGGGAGACTACTCCAGACCCCAGGAGAGCCATGGGGGTGCCCAGGGAGACCACTCCAGACCCCAGGAGAGCCACGGGGGTGTGGCCCTGGGAGACTACTCCAGACCCCAGGAGAGCCACATGGGGGGCCCTGGGAGACCACTCCAGATCCAGGAGAGCCACATGGGGGGCCCTGGGAGACCACTCCAGACCCAGGAGAGCCACATGGGGGGCCCTGGGAGACCATTCCAGACCCCAGGAGAGCCACATGGGGGGCCCTGGGAGACTACTCCAGATCCAGGAGAGCCACATGGGGGGCCCTGGGAGACCACTCCAGACCCCAGGAGAGCCACATGGGGGGCCCTGGGAGACCACTCCAGATCCAGGAGAGCCACATGGGGGGCCCTGGGAGACCACTCCAGACCCCAGGAGAGCCATGGGGGTGCCCAGGGAGACCACTCCAGACCCAGGAGAGCCACGGGGGTGTGGCCCTGGGAGACTACTCCAGACCCCAGGAGAGCCATGGGGGTGCCCAGGGAGACCACTCCAGACCCCAGGAGAGCCACGGGGGTGTGGCCCTGGGAGACTACTCCAGACCCCAGGAGAGCCACATGGGGGGCCCTGGGAGACCACTCCAGACCCCAGGAGAGCCACATGGGGGGCCCTGGGAGACCACTCCAGACCCCAGGAGAGCCACATGGGGGGCCCTGGGAGACCACTCCAGACCCCAGGAGAGCCACATGGGGGGCCCTGGGAGACCACTCCAGATCCAGGAGAGCCACATGGGGGGCCCTGGGAGACTACTCCAGACCCAGGAGAGCCACATGGGGGGCCCTGGGAGACCACTCCAGACCCAGGAGAGCCACATGGGGGGCCCTGGGAGACCACTCCAGATCCAGGAGAGCCACATGGGGGGCCCTGGGAGACCACTCCAGACCCCAGGAGAGCCACATGGGGGGCCCTGGGAGACCACTCCAGATCCAGGAAAGCCACATGGGGGGCCCTGGGAGACCACTCCAGACCCCAGGAGAGCCACATGGGGGGCCCTGGGAGACCACTCCAGATCCAGGAGAGCCACATGGGGGGCCCTGGGAGACTACTCCAGACCCCAGGAGAGCCACGGGGGTGTGGCCCTGGGAGACCACTCCAGACCCAGGAGAGCCACATGGGGGGCCCTGGGAGACCACTCCAGACCCCAGGAGAGCCACGGGGGTGTGGCCCTGGGAGACCACTCCAGACCCAGGAGAGCCACATGGGGGGCCCTGGGAGACCACTCCAGACCCCAGGAGAGCCACATGGGGGGCCCTGGGAGACCACTCCAGATCCAGGAGAGCCACATGGGGGGCCCTGGGAGACCACTCCAGATCCAGGAGAGCCACATGGGGGGCCCTGGGAGACCACTCCAGACCCCAGGAGAGCCACATGGGGGGCCCTGGGAGACTACTCCAGACCCAGGAGAGCCACATGGGGGGCCCTGGGAGACCACTCCAGACCCCAGGAGAGCCACGGGGGTGTGGCCCTGGGAGACCACTCCAGACCCAGGAGAGCCACATGGGGGGCCCTGGGAGACCACTCCAGACCCCAGGAGAGCCACATGGGGGGCCCTGGGAGACCACTCCAGACCCAGGAGAGCCATGGGGCACCTGAGCCCAGCGTGACTGGACAGCCCTCAGCCCTCCGCACAACTCACTGAGCCCAAGGCAGCATGAGTCTAGCAACCACGCAGCACCTCTGGGGTGCCCCCAGCACTTGGGGTCCCTCCCCACTTCAAGAAGACGGCACGTGGCTCTCCCTGACCCCCGACACACACTCACTGCCCAAGGGGCAGTGGGTGACAGCCTGTGTCTCCCCAGGGGCCTTCCTCATCCCCTACTTCATTGCCCTGGTATTCGAGGGCATCCCCCTCTTCCACATCGAACTTGCCATCGGCCAGCGCCTGCGGAGGGGCAGCATCGGGGTGTGGACGGCCATCTGCCCCTACCTCGGCGGAGTAGGTGCGCACACCTCCCCCAGACCCCGCCCTGCTGCTCGGGGCCAGGCCCTCCCGGGGGCAGAGGCAACCCGATGCAGAGCGCGCTTGTTCCGAAAGGGCACGGAAGCGTTGTGCGGGGGTCTCACTGGGTCTGTTTCTTCTCCCTGGCTTGGCGTGCTGCCCACCCGCAGGGCTGGGCTGCTTCACGGTGAACCTGCTGGTCAGCCTGTACTACAACACGGTCCTGGTGTGGGTTCTCTGGTACTTCCTCAACTCCTTCCAGCACCCGCTGCCCTGGAGCAGCTGCCCGCCAGACCTCAACAGAACAGGTGAGGGCCACGGCCAGGGGCTGGGGGGGCCAGTGCCAGTGCCAGGTGCACAGAGGTGGGAAGCAGGTCTGTGCCCAGCCAGCACACTCACGGGCCACTGTGAAGCCCGGCTCTCGTCTTCCATTGCTGGCCTCTGGTGACCGGGGCCCAGTTCACTCACGGGAGGTGTGGGCCTGGCACAGCTGCTTCTGATCTCCACTGTGGCCCTGAGGAGAGGACAGAGAGGCCCGTGGGCCTACAGGGGGGCCAGGAGCCCAGCAGCACCTGGACGGGCCCTGACCTGCCCCCGTCCTGTTCCAGGGTTGGTGGGGGAGTGCCAGGGCAGCAGCCCCGTGAGCTACTTCTGGTACCGGCAGACGCTCAACATCACGGCCGACATCGAGGACAGCGGCACGATGCAGTGGCGCCTGGTCATGTGCTCGGCCGCCTGCTGGGCAGTTTTGTATCTGTGTGT